CATGAGTTCCATTTGACTATATGGAAAAAGAAAAAAATATGTATAAAAATGTATCAATATTTTATATATACACACTCTTGTGCATACACACACACACACACACAGACACACACACAGACACACACTACAGTAATAGTTTGTGAAAATCCTTTTAAGCCTGAGGTGTTATTAGTTGTATGATCTTAAAATCTATACACTTAATAAAAGACATTAACTATGTCTTAGGAAAAAATTATTTTTACTTAATTAATTAGTATGGTTGTTTTTAGAATGCCATCAAAGACTTGTAGAATTTAATCCCACTTAGTTATCAATAACAGTTACATATAGGGAACAAGTATATGCCCGGGGTAAAAATCATTGGTGGTTGGTACTTGTCCTATTGGTCTATTCCTTTTCAAGAAGCTTTGAGCCACTATTGTTTAGTATATCTCTGTGCACCTTTCATGCATCTCTTCCTTCTCCTTTTTTTACTTTCTTTTGTGGTTAATTATTTAGTGTGGAGCGTTAGAGTATTTCTGTTTCAGTTCACTGTACAGCTCATGTGCCTCATTGTCAAAGCTGTATAATCAGCAGTTGAGAGCACTCAGCTTTGTAGGTCTTAATGTTCATATTACTATTGACACCTCATTTGGAATAGTATTAGTGTACATTAATAAAATACACACCATTTCCCTGAAAAATCACTAAAAAAAGATGCTTTGTGAATTGCAGAATCAATTGTGTTCCTGAAATTTGTAGTACAATAGACACCTGTTAGAAACCTCCTGGAGCTTTTGGAAACAGTGTCTTGCTTTTTGTCCTAACATACAAACATAATTGGACATTCTCCTCATGAGGACTTACTGAACCAAGCTGAGCTCTTACCTTACTGTTACTTATTTCTGGATACTAAAATAATGGAATATTATTTAAATTGTGAAAGAGAAAAACTTAGGAAATATTTAAAGATCTCAGTCTGAGACCACTAAGTGGGAAAAATCTATCTGGGCCAGAGCATGCCAAAGAGGCATCTTTGCAGTTACCACACAAGTAGGGTATATATATAAGTATAGTAAAGTTTATTGAGAGTTGAGAGAGGAGAAAGGAATAAATCAATGGAAAAGAATTGAGGAGGAAAAAGATGAAGAAAATTGATTATTAATAGAGTTTTATTTGCAGACACTCAGCTAAGTAAGTCAACACTTCTCGTTGGAATCAGTGGCAGCTGGTAGTCACTAAAATAAGATGTTCCTTCAGAATATCTAAAATCAATTATTGCAACTGGCAGCGGAAATCCAGAATAAAATTTTAAA